CTGATAATGATGGTGATTGTGGACGGTACACACACACACACACACACACGCACACATACATACATATATATATATTTATATATATAGACATAAACACAAAGAGAAACAAAAAAACACTATTGCAATATCCTTGTCTTGAAATGGATGGGAAAGAAGAGAAAAGAAAAAGGATTGATGAGTAGAAAAACGAAAACACACAAAACATTAGGATCACCGTCCTCGTCGTCGACAGAGACACAAAGAGGCTCAACCGTATGTACAAAATACTGCTTTGCTATGCTCAAACACATAAATACATCATATACATAGAAAGAGATTGCGTGAGAGACAAAGCATTACTGTACAAAAAAAAAAACTAAGGAAAAAAAATGAAATCTTTCGACGAGGGAGGCTAAACAAATTAGAAAGAAAGATATGATGAGAAGGAGAAAGTCATTCTCGAAAGAAAAAAAAAGAAAGTAAAGATAATTTTTTTAAAGACAAAAGAAGAAGAGTAAGAAGAAGAAAAAAAAATAATAATAATAACATTTGCCCCATGAAATATCTAAGCTTTAACAGAGATATATTGTGTTGGAAACTTTTGATATGATGACGTTGTTGTTGATGAATAATATGGACTATAAAAACCTTGATTATTATGTGTATAATAACATGTTCGTGAAAAATTTTGTTTTGAATATTGTATAGGTGATGTAAAAGATTTTTGCTTAATTGGTGTTGTTATTAATTCTTTTTCATTTAAATTTAAATTTACATTTTCATGTTCATTTTCATTTTCTTTTTCTTTTTCTTTTTCTTCTTCTATTTTAACCGGTAAATTATCAACACTTGATAATGGTAAATACCATGATTCAGGTGGTTTTGGTAATGATGAACATTCCGGTGGATCAGCATATGTATTTGAATAAAATAATGGTACAGCTGGTAATGAACTAGCTGACATAGCTGTTGGTGAAGTTGAATTTGAATAATGATGATAATTATAATAATGATTATTATTATTATTATTATTATACATTCTCGGATAAGAAGATGCCATACTACTATTTGATCTCATACGACCATTATTTGAATTTGTAACTGGTATTGAATGTGAATGTTTTATACGATGTTGTTTCACAGGTGATTTTCGATTGTTCATATTCATATTTGGCATGTTGATATGTGCAACTATATTATGTCGATTGAAACGACAAAAAACACAAAAAAAGAGCTAATCTACAAGAATATATATATATAGATTGAGATATTTTTTGAAAATTTACACTAGAATATATATATATATATATCTACATTTGAGATTATATGCATGTATATAGGCACTGACAAAAGGTAAGACAACGACAAACACTATTTATGTTACTTTATGAAAAGAGAGAGAGAGAGAGAGAGAGAGAACGAAGGGTTATGGGGCTGACATACATAGGCAAAAAAAAGTGACGATAGACAAATAGAAAGGCCCTATGCAACATGCCCCTCAACAGCATTCGTGATTGGTTGAAGAAAACGGAAGAAAAAAAAAAAGAAGCTTGTGTATTCATACGACGACGATCGAGGCTGACTGACGTTCGCATTAACGTCAAAAGTAGCCCCGTGTATGCGTGGATAGAAAAAAAAGACTATGTGGAGGCGAAAAAGAAAAAAAGAACGAAGAAAACCCCTTCCAGATACTTTTTTTTTCTACCCTCTTTCTTATTTGTATTTTTCTAGCAGCTTATGACGATGACGATGATGATGATGATGATGATGATGATTAACAAATATTCAACGGATCTATTGCACAGCAATCTATTTATATATTGTGTTGAGAGAAAATTATGACATAAAAAGAAACTAATGAAAAAAAAGTGTAGTTTATTTACTTAAACAGCTGTACATCACATTAGACCGTAAAAAAACAAAAACTTTGCTCGATATTTACAATGAGTCATGATTTTATCAAGAGTAAGAGAAGAACAAAAAAAAAACGTTTTTTTTTTTGTGAAGAAAAGCTTTACTTTTTTCTTTTTGCTTTGTTATGTTTATTAATCTTAATTTACTTCTGATAAAAAAAAAAATGTATGAAATTAAACCACCTACATACGCAACTAAAAATATGGTTTTGTGGTTGTCAATTCATAAAAATTGATTTATACGATCTGTTACCTTGTATAGCCCATGTTCAATATAATGTATATGTAGTTGACCTTCTCCCTCTCTCAATCGGACATACGGACGGATACAGAAGAGTTCAAATGAAAAAGGATATTACTCGTTCGTTCGCGCTCCTTCGCGCAGGACACATATGCACAGTATAATGAGTTTCTCTATATTTCTCTCGTTTTTTTTTTTCTTTCTCTCGTTTTCTTTTTCTTTCTTTTTTTTTCTATCCAGAATGTTCTTCTCTTTAATCAACTTGATGCGTGTGTTCGATTCTCTTCTAGATTTATAACCGACGGATGCAGCGAGCAAACAAATGGATGGCAAAAAGAAAAAAAAAGGGAAAATGACATCAGCGCAGATAAAAAAAAATCACGTCCATAAGCGTATACATAACGTTATAATATTTGATAAATGTGAGACAGAAAAATTGATTTATATAAAAAAATAAACAAACTTTCGACAGATGTATTAAAGGTTGTTGCTTAGTAACAATATGAAGGACTGATCAATTCATGTTTATATAATACAGTTGATTGTCAGACTTTGTTTTATTTAAACAAAAAATAAAGATAAAAATAAAAGTTGAAAAAACCCATTAATAATGTTTACTGATGGTAACCTATGGAATACTCAAAGACGACAACATAATACAGAAGTAACGAGATCAGTTAAAAGTATTAGATGTCATCATCATGAACAATACTTGAATTTATTACTTTTTTGTTATGTATAGTACTTATGGATGAAGCACGAATTAATAATTTTCAATATTCTCAACTTACAAGTAACATGCTACGTAAGGAAGACATATTACTAACAAAAAAAAAAATGTATATTTGATTCTATATCCTGAATAAGAATTTAGATTAATTTAAAAATATTTCAATGATTTATTTGTAAATATTAATTACATAATAATTTATAGGAGGGGCAACATTATCTACAAAAGCTGAAATATCATCAATACAATCTAAACCATTACTAAATAAACGAGTAAAACCAGTTCGTCCATCAAAGTAGTGATATGGATCTTTTGATTAATTACAAAAATAAAAGTGTCGTGTTTTTTTTAGAACATTAAATCCTACAGGATTACGTACTTATAATGATATTGTTAATTCTGGTGCTTATATTCAACCTGATTATCATCCAAGACCGACAAGTATGTCAAATGTATAATTGTTTTTATTCACTTATAAAATTTATTTCTATAGAAATTCGTACTGATCAAGAAAAAGATCGTTTAGCACATTTAATGGCATATGGAATTGATCCAACAAAAATGATCTGTAAAACAGTTGAATGTTCAACACCAATTCGTGAAATTGATCGATTTGATGAATGTATGTTGAAAAAACAAAAAAAAAGAAAAATTATTATTCAATAATATAAATTTTGTTGAAATAATTTAGTAGTACTTGAAATTGAACAAAGAAAACAATTTCTTGATCAAATGACATTACTTGGTAAACGAAAAGAATATCAACAAGTTATTTCAAATGAAATTTCTGATGTTAGTATTATTTAAATTGATTAAAATATGTTTATATATTTGTTTATTTTTTATTTTTTAACGTATAGAAAATACGTGAAATGGAACAGATTGATCGACAACGTTCAAAAGCTTTAGAAAAACGTCTCAATGAACATCAGTAATAAAGAAACTATGAAAATCAAATTTATTTTTATATATGTGTATGATCAAATAAAATTTTTTGTACGATTCAAGCTTTTTTTTTTTTGTTCAAACAATAGACTTCTTATTATAGTTGGGCATCATCAATTCATATTCAACATTAATAATGTAATATAAATTCATGATTACAACTAAGACTTCTTATGCGTATTTTATTTTATTTTTTTTTGTTATTTGATAACATTAGGTTATTTGAACTGATCTATTTATGTTTAAGATTTCTTGTCAATTGATTTTATTACTAAAAAAAGAAAGAAAATAAAAGAAAAGAAAAATTAATATTATTGTCGAAAAGAATATTTTATTATTAGTACTTTATTTAACATATGATAAAGATTAACATTATTTTATTATTGACAATTATAGACAAAAGTTTTCCTTCCTAGAAGAACTCTCTATAAATTCCCATAAGATTAATATAAATAACCAACACCAACTGTTTTTTTAATCAAAATCGGTATTCATTTCGTCTTAGTTGATGTCAATCAAAAGTTGTGACATATAAATCTTATCAGTGTACCAGTCATACGAAATTATTTTTTATCTCAACATCTTTTAGGTTCAAAACTCAGGGATGCGGCTCGAGCGAAAATAGTTCATCGTGACAAAAGTTGAAAACAATTGAAACACTTGAGCAATTCTACTTGATCTATTCGAATACACACAGCGATCTAAAAACAGAACTAACAAATTATTGCACTTGCTAAACAACAAGTGTTCGTCACAAGTCGAGACATTACAAACTAACTGAAAGAGAAATGAATCGTAATCAATGAGAGAACGATATAACAATACTTGAACGAAGTAGGAGTGAAATACAATCGATCTATGTTGAAGCCTACGAAAAGAATTGTTTTATATGAGCTGAAGATCATAAAACTATCCATTGAGACGAAGTGATCTTTTCTGATAAGATTAGCATTCGTCTGAATTTCATTAAAGAATTAGTCTGCAAGTTGTCAGAACTGTCATGAATTCTATCGAAGTCAATATTTGAAATTATTTCTCAAGTCAAGACTTCGATTGTATTGTCTGTTTTAAACAGAACTTAGTTGTGGAAGTAATGTGTAATATTTACAAGTGTACTTTCTCACCAACAAACCGTAAAAAAAATCGACGAAGATTCGAAATCATGACAATAACAAGATGAAAACAATTTCAAAATATACGTTGAAACTAGCAGTTGATTGGAAAATACATAATGTAGTTCGTAAAATTGATTAGCCGTCGATATCATCCGATCTTACATCCATTGAAAAAGTATGGGGACTTCTTAAGACGAAGTGAAAAAGAAAAAACAAGAGTTAAAACAACATATTAATGTCATATTACGCTTAACGATTAAAGTGTACTATAAACTTTTAGATAATAAAATAAAACATTTCATTATTTTATCAGTTCACTCAGTAAAGACTTATAGATTAGATAGCAAAAAAATTTTCATTTATGTTTTCAATTTTTATCCAATTCATCATGTTTCCATATACTTATATAATAAACAAGATATTTTTTTTTTTGTCAAAGAAATAATCAAAGACAAAAATAAATGAATTGTATTATTCAAGTGTCATAGAAAGTTTTTTTTTTTTTGTGAATTGCGATCTTGTTAACATCATTGTCATACTTTTTTCTTATTATTGATGTATATTTTCTTACAAAAGAAAAAAAAACAAAGCGTCGTATTCTATGACAATGGAATAAAATGAAAAGGATCAAATATTTCTTTGTTTTTTTTTTCATTGATTATAAATATGTTTAGTATATTTGTAATATAAGAATACCGAAAAACCAACTACGTAGTCTATTCACTTCATGATTATTCTGTTAATTGCATGATATATATTCAACTGAATGAAATGTTTTCATTTTATATATTCCTAGTTAAGAAATAAATGTTATTTTTTATATGCGAAATAATAAAACATTATTGGCTTCAGTCGTGATAATAGTTTCTTTATATGTTGGAAAAATAGGTACACAGTTGGGAGCGAGAATAAAATTTTGTTTTATTTATTTACCATGGATCTCTTTTTTTGTTGATTATTAACAAAAAAAAAAAAAATCTTAATCGATGTTCGACGAAATTCTATTATTTATACATATGAATTGATTCTTTTCGGTAGTTTTTTTAAAGAAAAGACAAGTAGTGATTAGATGTTATAGTTGAGAAACGTATGAAAAAAAAATAAAAATAAATGATATATAAAAACCCAACAGGTGAATATGTTATACATGATCAAATTGCTTTTTTCTTTACTTTACTTTTTGCTTTGCATCGTACTTGAAGGTGCTTGTTATTTTATTATATATAATATATGAGGCCTAGATATGTTTTTGATACTTATCAGAGAAATAGTATGTTATAAACTATTAGAAGAATGCAATTTTCATTCATTTCTTTTCACTGCATTTAAAGGGTTTACTATAGAATAATGAAGACTAATTGTGGAGGAGTTTGAATATTAAAATATTTGAAATGGTATTGATTTCTTTCAGTAATTACCATTACTGTTGTTTATTTAGACTAGTATAAAATATACTTCGCATCTTTTTTTTCATTGTAGCGAATCCATAACTGTTATCAAAAACGAGCTAATGTACCAATAATAGGTATTCTAAATAGATTTAATGTAAATGCAAAAATTGTAATTATAGAAATCTTAAAGAAAGACTTAGTTTAGAAACGAATAAAAACAATGAGAAATGATTTGAAGATAAGTTTTGATAAATATTTTATAGATGAATATTCGAATCTTGTATATGTTTTAATCTTTTTTTTTTTGTTTTTTTGAATACAAATTATTCGTTATTCCATATTTTTTTAAACTTAATTTCAACAAGATTGTTGATTCTTATGTTAACTATCTTTCTAGACAAATAACATTCCACTTTCATTTATTAATAAGATAAATTACGGTTTAATAGTGGACGTAGGAAAAAAAGGAATATCGATCAATTATTTTATTAAATTTTAACCTACAACTAAATAAAAAAAAAAGTATTTTTCAGATTTGAAAAAAATTTTTCTGTATATTGCTGAAATATAAATATGTCCTTGTAGCGTATACAAATTATTATCATATATAATTATGGCATTGACGACAATTAAAATACTATTAGGACAGGTATGTGTTATTATTTTTTTTGTACCTCGACAGAGATGGGCAATTTTACTTTTGCTTTTTTTTTTTTTTTAAAATTCAACTTCAATTCCGATTCTACAAAACTAAATTTCTTCCAATAGTGTTTTTAAAGACACAAAAGTTTTTGAATATAATTAAATCTATGATTGATACCTATGAATAGCAGACTAATTTATTCCTTTATAAGTTTTTCATATAAAACTCAGAGATGCGTAATTCCACTATATTCTACTTCAACTACACACAATTCCACTTCTATTTTCTTAAGTCCTACTCCAACTCTGATGAGGAAAAGCGATAACTTTGGAATTAATTCCAACTCTAAGTTGAAGTTACTCATCTCAGAGTCATTCAAACAATCAACGAATACGAATGCGCATGATATATAGTATCATTGCTGCATTGAATACATTAGATTGGATTGTATGAAATGTTCTCACTCTTGTACTTATCTATATTGTGATTGTTACTTTGTGTCGCTTCTGATGTTTGTTGCGTTGAAGTTGTTGTTCATTCTGAACAATGAATACACAAACACAAAAAAAAAATTTTCTTTCATTTAAAATGTAGCAAATAGTCGATTTATAATACTAGAATTGTACTTATTCATGATACAGACAAATACACGAAATCAGACGATTGTTTAAAATTATCTATTGAATATCATGTCTTTTTTTTATGCTTTCGACTTTGTACCGTAGAAACGGTACGGTTCAAATATTCATAAAAACCTACTTTGAATTTTACAGAATATCTTCTGAAACTTTTGCGAGTTTCGCTTTAACAGGCTTTCGGACTAGTACCACAAGTAAATCTGCTCTATTGCTTGGTTTTGATGTCTATTTTGTTCGTTCGATGTTGGAAACAGGTGAAAAAGCTCGTACTCCAGAAAAAGAATACTTTTGTTATTTAAGATATGATATTCATATTATAATTTAGGGAAATTCTATATGTGTATCGAGATTCAAATGAAATGGGCACTACATGCAAGAGAGGAAAAGCGAAAACTCTGTACTTTACTGTGCTTCAACATACTCCAAAGATATGTCACAGCTATTCTCGAGAACTGCTTAGATGTTTCAAATCTATTATCAACGTATGTCATGAAGCATATTAATTTGAGTTCATTTTATGTAAATCTGAGTGACAACAAACTCCAGATACTTTATTGTACTTCATGCTCATAACATATGTTGATAATAGATTTGAAATAGCTACGTAGTTCTCAAGGATACCTGTGAAATATCCTCGAAATATGCTGAAGCACAGTGACATACGAAATTTTCGTTTTTCTCCCTTGACTACATGCCATCCAATCTGAATTGCATAAAGTAATAGATTTCGATCAGTGGCAGAAAGAATTTGATCCTGTGTATCATAATAATGATTCTGAAAATTGTTACGAATAATTCGGTGTCAAGAATCTAGTACAAATCTTCAGATACGTTATCATTATGAAAGATGATGTTCGATTGCAAAATGATGAATTCGATAAAAAATTCGAAAACATGTATTGAAAATGCATATAAACTGTCTGCATATTGTTTCATAAAAAATAATGAATTTTTGTTTTTTATTTTTAAGACTTGCTTTTTTAGACAAAAAATTTACTCTTAATTGAAGAACAACATATTTCTTCTATATAATAGATTCTATGTTTTAATATCATTTTATAATAATTCGAAACAAAAATAAAGAACGTGAAAGATAACATAGAATGCATATAAGCATCAAGACTTTTAGAAATCTACTAAATCTAAAGAACCATTTTTACGATATCAACAAATTTTAAAAAAAGCACGTTACTATTAATTATAATAATTTATAAATTAAGACTGAAGAAATTTTATAATATTTTTTTTTTTTTTAAATTTCAAATTTTTCAAAATAAAATTTTCTTTTTATGGATTAATTTATTTCATTTTAATAAAATTCAATAATAAAATTGATTGAATTTATTGATAAAAGTCAATCTATTTTAATAGGAAATTTTTATTTGAATCGAGTTAATATTGAAAATAAAATTTATATTCGTAAATTTAACCAAGAAGTCGTTCTTTAACACCATCCCAAAATGTTAAAACAAAATTAATTGCATCATCAATAGTACGATTTAATTGTTCTTTTGTTTTATCAAATATATCAGATACTTTTTGTTGAAACACATCTAATGAATTTTGAATATTAAATATAGCACGTTCACCATTAATAAATTCCATTAAATCAAATCTATTAAAAATTGAAAGAATTGTTTCACTAATATTATCAATAAATAATTTTTTTAAATCTCCTAGAAGATTATCCACAGCATTGTATAATGTTTGTTTAATTGTTGAAAAATTAAGTAAAGTTCTACCATTTCTTTCAAATATAGTTGGAATATTAGTATAAAATTGTGTTATTTGATTATTCCATTGTGTTGCTATAGAATTTACTCCACCAAATAATTGTGAAACCCATGGTGCTGGTGTAGCTTTATTGGAACGACCTAATTCATATGGAATATTTTGTGAAAGTTTTTCACCAAGTTCAAAAACTAATTGAGTTAATTGTTTAAGTGTAGTTTGAAATATTGGATTTAAATAAATATATAATAATTGAACAATAGAATCAATAATTGATGTCGATTGTATTGTTGGTACTGATGAAGCAAAGATTATAGTGAAAAGAGTCATGAAAATGATAAGAGTTAATTTCATGTTGGAAGTTTTGTCTAATTTTTCTTGATTGAATTGAATGGAAACAATTATATTTATGTATTTTTCTTTTATAGATTTAAAAAAGAAGGGTGTGAGAATAAAAACAGATGTATTAATATTGATGTCATAGTGCAAAATATTCTCATTCAAAAAAAAAAAAAAATGTACTTTATATTTACGCAAAAAAAAATATATAGACTGATTACAGATCAAGGGAAAATTCATTGATTACTTAATATATTTGTATAGATACGTTTTATTTTCGTATATAACGTGGGCTTTACATATATTTTTATCTATTATATTTAATAAAATATTCTATTTATCTAGTAAGTCATAAATTTATTTTATTATTCTTATTTAAACATATATATTTTTATATATTAGTTATCTTTGTCTATTATATCAATAAATAAAAGTCATATGACTATAATAATTAAAAACATTAATGTATTGATAATACAATATGATTTGAGGTATATTTTTATTTTAATCACGTCTTTACACTGATTGGTGTGTTTTGTATGCACAGTATTATGTGAAGGTAAGGACGCAGTGATCAATGTAAAAAATGTCCCTGGTTTTATATTTTTATGATAATACTTGAATATTAGGAATAATTATTTTATATAAAGTTTCATTTTTTTTTTTTTTCTTTCAGATAAAATAAGACGAATGATAATTGCTACGTGATAAACTGAAGTTAAAATAACCTTGTTAGATAATTATTTTGGTAAACTATTTAATTACTTGGTGAATAACATTCTCTACTACATAACTAGTAAACATAATTAATTTTTTTTTTTTAGTCTCGTTACGATTCATCTAACAAGTGATCAAAAAGTAATTAGATAAAATGTTTATTTATTTTTTTGAAATTTTTTAAAGGTTTTGTAGAAATTTGAAAATATTGAATAAGAATCAAAATTTAATGTTCTTTCCAAATATGGGTTCAAAATTTTTATATCATTTCTAGTTTAAGAGTTATGAGTTGACCTTCTAGAGGTATGTAAATTAAATTTGGTCGGAGAAAATTACCTTTTTTCTTTTTCTTGTTATAGTCTCCTATATTGCATGCGCGTTATATTACTGCTTTTTTTTTTTAAATTAGAATAAAAAACAAAATTGTTCTCTAAAAAGTGATATAAGAATTAAGAGTTTCAAAAAAAAAAATCATTCAGAAATACTCAAGTTCACTTTTCAAATCTGTTTTCTATAGAAATTGAATAAATTTTCTAAATTGACACGCTATTAACAAATGACTCAAGGTTAACTAATCATCAATATACTATTTTTGCCGAGAAATGTTTACTCTTTCATTCATTGTATTTTATATAATCTCCATTTCTACTTTGGGTAATTTGTAGCACGCTAAAGTTCATCTAAGCTTAATTTACGAACCTCTAAAAGGTCAGTTCATAACTTCTACACTAGATATCCTACAAAAATTTTCAATGCAAACTTCTTAAAAAGTTTGAAAACTATTATAATAAATACATATTTGAATATTTTTTTGATGTTACAATTTTTCAGTTGACAAAAAGACTTTTGAATAATTCATTAATATAAATAATATTTAATATATTTTTAACAATTGTTAAATTGTTATAAGAGATATTATCTATTTTCTCATATTTTTTGTACAATAGAAAATTTCAATCTTTGACATTTGAAACAAAAGAATTTATTGTTGTTTGTGAATTGATTTTACAACGAAATTCGATATCTCATATTTATTCATTCATATAATTTCGTATAATAATTTTGAAATGATTGACTAATTTAGTCAAGTTATGGTAATGATTGAAGATGAGATCTCCGGTTTCGGTTGACACATATTATTAATTATTCGTTAGTCAAGTTACAACAATTGACTTAAGGCAAAAAAAAAATGTCTCGCTCGTTGAAATGATCGAGCCGGAAATGAACGAACTCGTGATTCTCGATCTATTTCCGGATTTATTATATATACTTAACTAGTAATTCTCGGATGTTGAACTATTGTAAATGTATGATGTTCGATTAGAATCAAATTTGAGAACATTAATCTAACAATCAAACATGATGAATTACGAAAAAAAAAAAATGTTTTTTTTTTTGTTAATAATTTATAAATTGGATAAAATTTCTCTGTTTCATTCGATAGAATAGAACAAATAAGATTTAAAGTATAAGTTTTATTTTATATAGAATTTCATACTAAACAAATGTATTTAAAAAAAAATTTGTATGTTGATAAATAATAAAAAAAAAAAAAAAGAAAATTCAAAAGTAGACAATATTTCCATCATCAAATTCCTAAATAACTTCATCGGTTTTTTTTTCTCTTCGTGTTTAACTTTTTTTTCATATTTTCTATATCTTCTTATGTGAAATAATTGAAGTGGAAGTTTTATTTATTCAATTATTTAATCTTCTTTAAACGATAATTTCTATTCTATCCGATTTGTTAATAACACTCATGTCGCGTTTCTCGTATTGCCTCGAAACGACTTTTCTAAAGAAGAAAAAAAAAAAAAGAACACGTCTATATTTAATTATCACTTTTCTTCATGAATAATGTCAAATAAATTTGAAGAAAAATAGAAGAAGATTAACATCAAAAAATGCAGCAGTATATATATATATCTATAAGATATGTTTATATATAGTGATTATATCTTGCTTGTTGTTTCTTTCTGTGTATATAAATGAAGAAGAACAAAAAAAAAAAAAGAAAACCAAGAACAACTAATCTATCTGATTTATTGATCTGTTGAGAGGGCGGAAAAGCATCATTGCTTTAGTACTACACATGAGGGTAGTACATTGCGTGACCTCCATTCATGGGTTGTGCGCGATTGAAAATGGTTCATTATCGGCATGCATTTTTTTTTTCTTCTATTTCTTTTTCTTTTTTTTTCTGACTGCTGTGAGTATGCGTTAGCTAGTTGTTATTGTGTGTGTTGAATTTAGAGCTATGCTGTATATAGGCGCGCAACGATGCGATGGCTTCATCTGTAATCATGTTGTATGTGCGTGTTGATTCATGTGATTTTCATTTCTTCCTTCCACTTGTTAGGATATGTTTTCAATGAATGAATGAAGAAAAAAAATTTTTTTTTTTTAGGTAAAAATGTAACAGAGAATAACAAAAAGAGATTATTATTATTTTCTTTGTTTTTTTTATGTCTTCTAAAGAAAGAGAAAATAACAAAAAAAAAAATGCTTGTTTTCTTTTCTCGTTTAAAAGAAAATCTACATGTAGTTCTTTTTTTACATTTGCATGGCTTGATTGAACTGTGTATTTTTTTTTTTTTCGTATATAAAACTCTCGGAAGGAAGAAGTTGATTTCTTCTATGAACCGACAATAGTCATTGAAATAAGAAGCCTTTACTAGCTTTTATTGTGCACTTTTCTCTTTCTGTTGTCATTGTCATGTACGTGATCTATCTGTTTCTTTTGCTTTGTCATTGCATGTCATCATCATCATCATTGTCATCATCATCATCATCATCATCATCACATGCCACATATATACACGCCGACAGACTGACTCATTATTTGAGTGAATGTTAATCATTTTCATCTTGGTCATCGCCGCAGGCGGCAGTCATTCGGTCGGTAGGAGTGAAACTATAATACATATGTCTATGTAGCTTTCATTTTCTGTTCAAATGTATAGATGTTTAATCGTCATCATCGTTTTCTTCACCTGTTCATCTGTCGTTCATTCAAACTGACGTAAGCGAAGAAAGAGCATATTTTGGCCCGATTATCTTTTTCTTTCTTCTCTCTTGGTGGCCCTCATCGTTCTTAACCATACTTCACTTTCTCCTTTCTCTCTTTTGCGCGCCGCATGCAAAACGATAAGATCAATCACGAGGACGACGAGTCGTTTTTTTTTCTCTTTATGTTATATGTTACTGCTACTACTGTTTACAGTTGCTCTCATCATTAGAGTTACTAATCAAACATAGTTGAATGCGCTTTTTATAATCGCTATGTAAAGGTGTGTTTGCATATATATATATATATAACTTGAGGGCAAATTAGAAAAAATTTGAATTGTGATACTATTGATTAATAACAGTTAGTCACTATACAACTAGTCCTATTCGATTTGTGTCATTTCGTTAGAAAAGAGATGATGATCAAATATTCTATTAGATGACGAGAAAGAGAGAGAGAGAGAGAGAGGGGGAGAGACAGAGAGACAACAACTCTCTCGGGAATCAGAAAGAGAACAGAAAAGCAGTAACACACAGCAGTAGCAATTAACTTTGCATTTCCAGTGAGCGCTCTCGTGCGTTCTTTTCTCTTTTACTCGTTGTGAACAGTGTATATATGTGTGTGTGTTGTTACGAGCTGCACTTCTTGATCAGATTCAATTGTTTGACAGCGACGAGCAGTTTACTTTGTCTTCTCATTTTTTCTCGTCGTCTTTTTACTCTCGTGTGCAAAGATCATATTATCTCGCACACACATACTTGTAAATAGACACATATTGTAAGACTATAGATTAGCATTGACTGCGGTACTCGTTTCCGTCGATCATCATCATTCAAACATAGACATATAACATACATTAAAGATCTTTTTTTGTTTTTCCTTTCCTTTTTTCTTCGTCATTTCCTTCATTTTATAATTGTTAAACTTAATGAGTTACCATATTATAACACTTTCCCAAGAGAAAAAAGTGTAGAAAACAGGATAAAGCATGTAGCATGTTGCCGGTCGTTATTCGTTCAGCCATTATTATTCGCCTGTTCTCGTTTGATTAATTGCAATGAAAAGCACATCTTTCTGTTTCTTCTCCTTCCCATCACATATGCACGCATAGCTCATATTTCATCAAATCCTCGTTTATCCACATAAATGGAGTTCTCTCTTTCTTTCTCTTTCCGTTTCATGTCATAAAAGCGATGACGAACAAACGCTCTATTGCTCTCTCTCTGTCTCTCTGTCTGTTTCTCTTTCTCTTTCTCTCTCGCTC